ATTTACTGTGTATATACATATTATGAATACAAACATTTTGTAATCAACAGATTTTAGATACCACGCCCCCTTCTCCCCAAATTTGTAAAAAACTTATTTCAAGTACTAGAGACTTGAGCTTTGGAATGTACACACACATTTTGACCATGTGATTACAGTCTGAAAATTAAGATTCTGTGTCTACAAAAGAGGTTATTTAAAAAATAAATTCTCATAATATTGCCCACAATGCAGCGCAGCCCAAGTGCAGTCGCACGCTTACTGCGCAGTTAGCAGAGCGCGTGCATAAAAAAACTGCATAATGATAAGAATATCAGCTTGGAGGGTTAAGGGTATCTCCTCGTCGAGCAGTCTCGACTAGAGCCTTTATACTTGTTATTTTTAGCAACTGTTTTTTAAGCTATTTATTCAAATTTATCTGAAAGTATTTTAAAAGCATGTTTTATAATACAGTAAATATTCAACAATAACTTTCAAGCTAGTTATCAACTTATTGAGATTGAGAGGTTTCGACCTTATACTGTTCAAAGGGGCAGTTAAACTATCCAATATTAAAACTTAGCCACCCAAAACAATAAATAGAAAACATGATAAAATTTTTCTTTTATAATATTTATTATTATTATTTTTCTTTTGTTGATTTTGTTTTGACACGAATGAAACGTACCTAACAAGTTTTTTGTTTGTTAATAAAATAAAAGCATATTTTTGGAGCTTTCTTCATCTTCATCTTGATTTTATACACTTATGTAAATTTGTTTATCTCTAGGTGATCGATATTAATAACTAGTTGCAATTATTTGTTATCTGTTGGATTCAATTGTGTGGGGCGATGATTTGGCTTTTTAACTTTGTTGGTGAACTTTGAATATTTCTATTTGCGCACGAGGCGGTGTCGCCCCTATAGTCGTTTGTTTAACTGCGAGTGTAGAGTCAGTTGAAGTTTTTAATTTATAGTTTACACTTTCATAACAATAACAAATAGGTAATTCTGAACACTTATCTTTGAGAACTGAATCAAACGCACAGAAAGAATTGAAAGGGCAGGGTGTCTGGCTTAAAATGGCTTGTGAAATATGTATATGTAAGCAGCGAACGGCGAACGGCAAACAGTTAACAAAAGAAGTACATAGAAATCATATCAAGTCTTCGCAGCTGCCCGCACCCTTACCCTTGGGAGACTCGATTAAACAATTATAATTCCTGGCTGTGATGTGCATGCAAATCGTAAACTGGGAATTAGTGGAGAGAGTAACAGAGATACGGGTTCGTTGTAGTCTTCCTTTTTTATGATTTTTGGAATATTCTTTTTTGAATATTTTTATTATTGCTAATGATGACAATCTTCAATCTGTTGTGTATTTGCAGTTTTCGTTAATTTTATAACTATTTGGTTTTACTAATTTAAAATTCTTTGTGTGCACCTATTTTACAGACAGCTCGAACGCAAACAACTTTTTTGAGGCTTTTCTTTTTCTTTTTCTTGAAATTGATTTGTGTTTTTAGGCTTTGTTTTGTGTGCTTACTATTGTTTGCGTTGTTCCTGTTTTTATTTGTTGTTTAATGCTAATTGAAATACGCTTATAAAATGTATTTTGCATTTTGGGGGAAATTTCTTTAAACTTAAAATACATGTTTGGATTATAAATTTAAATGTAGTTTTTAATGCTTAAAATTTTACACACAACTTAGTTTCATTAAGTTTGCTACATTTTTTGTTTTTTTGTTTTTGTTTTTTTGTTTTTTTTAGGTTTTGCTGTTGTTCTCTTTTAAGTTTTTGCTTTACTCAATAATCAGAAAGTTGTAATAATAATAATAATAATAATAGATCATCTCTAACGTAATATGCGCTTCTTATCTTGAATATAATTTTGAATTATAAACACCCCTCCCCACTCCTTTTCCCCGTATCCCTCCATTCGCAGTTTTCTGTGCCGTAGGCATCAGAGCTGAAGTCGAAGAGTTGATCGATACCCTCGTTGGCATTAAGAGCATAGGGATATTCATTATCATCTGGCGGATCGATGGACACAAAAGCTTTATCGAAATCTGCAAGTATATATAAATGCATGAATATATGTATCAATATATTCATATGTATATACAGATAAAAGATCATTTCTGTATAAAAGATAATTATTTATTTCCCTATTTTTTTTTCCTGAATTGCAGGTTTTGTTTTTTGGTGAATGCATGTTTGAAACTCACGCCAGAGCTGAATCTCATGGTGCTACAAAATTTCAATTTCAAATTGAGCAATTGCCCTCTGCAACGGTTACAGTGCACTGCAGACCCACGAGAATTCAGTTCCAAAATGAATTTTTTAATGGTTTCCATTGATATTTGTCGGCGTGTAAATACATACATACATATTATACTTAAAGCATACCCTCCATCTCAATTATGCAAATAAGTGTACTACAGCAATGTTCATTTCAAATCAAATTGTTAACATAGTGTCACTGTTAACTAACAGTATAAGAGTTGAATGGGCCCCATTGTAAGCAGTATGTCATGTGTGAAATGAAGTGTGTAGGTGAGTGTGTGTGTATTATGGAATCACTGTTAATTAACAGAGTAAACATAACAGTTAAATTGTCACACTTCAAAAACTGAATGTAAAATGTGAAATGATGTATATACATATGTATATGTATGAGTAAATGAATGTGTTTTAATATTCAATATGCGTGGATTATGTTAGAGTGAGAGAACGCGCGAACAGGAATTAGTATTTGTTAATTGTTGTTTTCATTTTATGATTTATATTATACATTTCACTAATCAATTACATGATAAATTTTGATACAAAACAAAGTTAAAATTCAATTTTGAACTGATTCTCGTATTCTTGGGTTGGTATCTGCCAAAATACTGCTGCGTAAAATTCTATAGAAATTAAAATATACAAAGCACTTTAATTTTGATTCATTTCAGTTTGTAATATATGTATATACATGCATATTTGCATTATATACATACATAGGTATAGAGTATTAAATATTTTATTCTTATTTATATGTTGCTGTGCGAAGTGCGCGCTAAGCAAGAACTCAGACTGTGATGCGGCTTGCATATAGGAGTTCACGCAGGTCACAGAAAAAGTTCTTGTTAAGTGCGCTTCAAATCGAATTCGGATTCCGTTTCCACAGGCACTGTGAAACTTGCGGCTGTTATTTACAGATGTGTCAAATTAAATGGACGTATCGTTAGAACATGACTTACCAAAGTTGCTAAAGTCACCTAGGAGCGCATCGAGACCTTGAAGCGCCACATTGCTGCCATCGCTGTCGGCGTCGCAGTCGGCAACAGCAGCCGGCGTTAGGCTGGTGTATTGCTGCTGCTGACTCATGTTGGCGCCAGCGCCAGAGATGTCACCATATGTCGTCGCTGGCATATTGCCGGCAACTGCCGCAAACTGCATGTCCAGAGAGCCCATGGCATTGGAGTTACTGCTACCGCTGCCGCTGCCACTGCCACTGCTAATGCCACTGCTATGGGTGTTGTTGTTGCTGCTGTTATCGCTAACAGCATACGTTGACGCAGTTGTGTCGTCCATTGCACAGTTATACATGGGTACGTCGCTACGGCGCTGCTGCAGCTGCTGATTGCTGTAATTAACTGTGCCGCTGTGTGGCTGGGAATTGTGATTGATGCTGCTGACTGATCGATTATGACTATTAAGCGTATTTGCGTTGCCGGGCCGTCGCCAAAGCCGCGCTGTAGCGCCACGAGGCATTCCGGCGTTCGTCGTAGCAGACGAGGATTGTGTGAGACTGTTTAGAATCTGTTGAATGGCGCGCCCGTGCCGTTGACTTCGCACCACTGGGCTGGTGAGCGTCGGCACCAGCTGATTCAGTTCGTCGTCGACATCATTATCATCATCATCGTCATCATCAGCATTGCTGTTGTTCGCTTGCGTCGTGTGCCATTGAAGCTGACGCTGCGGCGAGGCCGTTTCAGATTTGACGCTGCCAATATCACAAATATTATTAAAATCAGACTGGGATTGCTTTGCCGCTTCTTCAATGGATTTGCTGAGGTTGCGCTGCGCGGCTAAGCGATATGGAGGAGAGCCTGCATACAGATGGAACAAAGCGTTACATCCTTTGATCGACATTCGATAACGAGATCGCCAGCTTACCCAGCCCCTTGGTGCTCATGGCATCAATGTTGTTGAATAGGGGATCGATGCGTTGATTGGCCAGCTGCTGCAGTCGCGTTGACGTTGCCGTGCGTATTCCGTTGCTACCGAGGGACCCTGCTCCCGCATTGCCAGAGCCTCCTGAGACTGGCGAGTTCTCCGGAGAGTTATCGTGACAAAGAAACACGTTTATCTCCCCGCTATTCTCCGCCTTGACGTAAATCTCGCGCGGCAGCTTCGTATTGGGCAGCTGGAAAGGAAAACAATTGAATGGTTACAAGGAATCACAATAGCGAAATGTAAATGAATTTGTATTTTGCTTGGGGACCTTTGGCGCCATCTAACCACGCAGCATAACTGGCGTTCCATTCGTGCTCCATTGCAACGGCCTTCAGCCTTTCCATAAGTTCTCCACGCTCGCGCGTGCGTGCGTTACGCGCGAGCTCATTAAACAGTTCAAGGCAAGCGGAAACATTAAGCGAATTATTTATAAATGGTGTGTGGCTAAAAGACCGCCAGAACAGCCGGCGATAGAGGCGACTATGTCAAATCCAGTCGGTAAATCAGTTGGGATTGCTTCTTTATAGAGAGACGTGTATTCGCACACACATATGTACATATGCACTCAGCTGTAGCTGTTGGGAGACTCATCTGGGGATCTGAGAAGCTGCGAATGATGAGCAGGAGTCGGGAGCGAGTCGCGCGGGGAGAACGCGCACAGTAGATTTGCTTCAACTTTGCAGTGCGTCGCTTGTCGCTGTCAGAGGCACTTCTATAAATAGGCCGCCATCTATAATGGCATGCAGACGCAAAGAAGAAGCACAATGGTCTGACGTCGTCGCCCGAAAAGCGACCAGAAAACTAGAGAACCAGCTACATAAAAAGTTGCCGCCGTTCGACAGATATATGTAGCTATTAACGTGGTTAAGTTGTTTCGAAATCAGGCTAATAGAGTTGGATTTTCAAGAATTTCAATTTGCTGAATTCATCTGAGCAACATTCAGAATACACGCAGCAGATTAACACCTCAGATTCTGTTCCACTGCTATTGCTACGTGCTTATACTAGAGTAGGGGTTAGGACTTACTACAAGTTTGGCTTCTGGCGGCGCCTTGATCACAATCACAATCTGATCTTTGAAGAGATCCACGTTGAGCAGATCGCTCTGCGTTACGTAAGCCATGCCGCCCACATTTTCCACCTCCTGAGATATCTCGGCCAGCTCGGCACGCATCTGGTCGATTAAAGTGTTTAGCTCGTTCTCGCGCTGCTCCAGTCGCTCACTCTCGGTCTCGATGAGCCGAGATCGTTCGCTGCTGACCAGCGACTGACCGCCACGCCATTGGATATTGTTCTTGGACTTCTTCTCCAAGATGCCAATGCCCTCGAGGACATTGGTTATGTCGTAGATGCGACGCTTTTGCACGGACAACCGGGTGGACGCATCGTTCAGATCGACTACGCCGTCCGGCGACTCCTGCAGCAAGTCCACGAACTTTTTGGTCAATATGCCCAGCGAGGTGTCCGCACGATTGCGATCACCGCCTCCGCCGCTACTATTGCCGCCGCCAGTCGAAGCCGAGGACGGTGTCACGAGCGCCGTTTGCTGCTGCGACAGTGCATGCGAATGCGAATGCAAAGTACCGTTGCCAGCCGACTTGCTCGTCTCCACATCGTCTTCCACGTCGTGGTCGATTTCGTACTGCTGCTGCTGTTGCTGCTGCTGCTGCTGCTGCTGCTGCTGCTGATGATGATGATGATGATAGCGCAGCTGCTGCTTGCTGCTGCTGTTGTTGTAGGTGACTGTCTGGTGCTGTGCGCTTTGCTTAGCCTGCTTCTTCGGGTGGATCTCGTGGGTCGCTACGTTCGGTCGGCGCTTGACCTGCAGCAAATAGGAAGCGCGTTTACGATGAATAGTAAGCGATAGTAAGTAGTCAGCCTAACTCTAGTTAATCAATCACAATTTCTATTTAATTACCTTGTAATATTGTGTGATATCGTTCGTCTTGCCAGCTGCGCCGCTATTTCGCTGCTGCTGCTGATTCTGATGTGTGTTGGATGTTTCTGCTATCACGGTTGCCGGCGCTGTTGAGCCGCCAGCTTTATTCAGACTTATGTACACGTGATCACGCAGGTGGGCAGCGACGCCGCTGTTGCTGCTGTCGTTGCGGATACCCAGCAGATTTTCGTTTTTGATCACAATATTATTATTATTGTTGTTGTTGTTGCCCAGCACCTCATAACTGAGCTTGCGCGCCACCTGATTGACGCCGACTCCATAGAGTTGATGCAATCGTTGGTTGCTGCTGTTGATGTTGCTGTTGCTGTTATTATGGCTTTTGGGCGCGGCGGTGGTTATTAAGAAATTCGACATTTCGCAGTTGCGTGCTCTTTCTCTCTCCCCCTCTCCTCCTCTCCTGCTCTTCAGATCTTCAACTCTTTGCCAGCAGTAACTACAAAAATGATTTTGGCTCGCTCGCTCTCTCGCTTTGTCTTTTTTTTTTTTTTGTTTCTCTCTTTCCTGCTACGTCGTTGGCATGGCAGCGCGTGTTCTGTTCACTTTTCGCTGTAGCATACTTTAAAGCGCGGATGATACTGATAGAAACGTTGCCACACGGTCGAAAAGTTTGCCAAAATATATTTCTCGTTTGCGTTTATTGTACTAATTGTTTGAGCTTATCAACTAAATTAGCACCTAGGGATTCTTCACATCTGCAATAGAAATGGTAAAGGAGAAAGAATGCAACAATTATTCAAGTGTTCTCTGACTTTATATGTATGCAATTGGCACATTAAACTTTTGCGCCACTTTTCGATTGTTTGTTTTCTTAACATTTTATGCTAATGTGTCAGCGTTTACATGACATTAACATACAGCTGCAAAATGAAAATGGCAAAGATAGAAACAGACATAGAGAGAGAGAGAGAGAGAGAGAGAGAGAGAGAGAGGGAGAGAAATAGTGAAAAGACAAATTTAATTATGTATGCTTGGAAAATAGAAATATTCTGTTGTTATTTGTTGTCATCGTCGCGCCAGCGCAAGCGCAAATGTCAATAAACTCATCTGAAGATAGTATTGAAACAATCAATACCCAAAAACTGGACGCAACGTAGCGTGCCAAGAAGAGAAGCACAAAAAAAGCAGCAACAACAGTAACAGGTAAAACGAGTAACGTTATATAGTTAGCGTTGTTTTAACCGCTTCTCGCCAGCGTCAACATGGCCAGAGGTTCAGTTCATTAACGAGAAAAAACATTTGTTCTCTTAGAGTTCCTATTTGTGTCTGGCGAATTTCAAAGCTTAAATAAGATAAAACAGGGCCAAATAGAGCTCTGTTAAAATCGACAAGCTTGCGTCTGTTAAGCGCCCCAGCTTACTAATATACAAACTGTTAATTGCGTATTGAATAGAGCACTCAGAGTTAAACACACTTAATTAAAAACGTGCTCACAGACACACACAGACTAGCACACACATGTGTACATATATGTATGTATATTGGTATGCAGAGAATGAAATGCAAATCGAGCGAAATACATACATAAATGGAACGTCGCATGGAATTTGCTGAAATTGGCAAGAAATAAACATTCAACCAAAAGCCAAAGGCAAAGACAGAGGCGAGTCGGCGCAGGTAGGTAGGTAACAATAGCCAGAGTTTCATTTGCACACTCTCGCTCTCTTCGCTCACGATATCTTCTACAAATTGAAGGCTGCTGAGATTTCGTTGTTTCTTTATCTCTTTTGTGCAAAATTACAAAAAAAAAAAAAAAAAAAAAAAAAAAAAAAACCGTTTTTTTTTTTTGGCGCTTTTTTTTTTTTTTTTCTTTTTTTTGAAAAAAAAAAAAAAAAAAAAAAAAAAAAAAAAAAAAAAAAACCGTATCTGTTTACAGGCGCTTTTTTTTTTCTTCAGGTAATTCAATTCGCAAACATGGAAATTTTATACGCTGAAATTATGTGGGCAAGAGAGAAAGGAATATACATATGGACATATGTATGTATAAGCAGCCAAAGGGTAGCACGGTGACCACCAGGTAGGTCCTTTGAAATTCATTTAAATGCACACAAAATATTTTTTCATTTGATTGGCATGGAAGTAGTTCGTATACTATTCAATTTCGCATATACAGTTTCAGAAAGCGTATAAGATTACCTATGAACGTAAGAAGCACAACAACGATTTTATGCAAATTAATCTATCCACTGTTCATAACAGATATCCGTTATTTAGTACATGCCTGCTGCTAAATCTTAACATTTTCGAAATTTGACTTCTTTTAACTTGACAGTGACGTCACATTTCGCAAGGAAGAACCTTTGACACTGTTATCATTAAGTCTCCTTAATATTTTCTTAAATCCAGCATACAATGATTGTAAATTGAATTTCATTTTTCTGAACTGTTTTCTATGCAGGCAATACGCAATTAATCCTTATTATTTTTGTGTTGAGTAAGTATATTTTATTTTCCCGGGCTTTAATTTGCAAAATTAATTTGTATTTTCTTATTATCCGTGTCTCTAAGATTTAAGCTGACAATCATAAACTAACTTTTTATACCCTGAACCCATTGAAAATGGGAAATCAGGGTATTATGGTTTTGTGTAAAAGTATGTAACAGGCAGAAGGAATCATCGCAGACCCCATAAAGTATATATAT